GGAACATCAACACTGACGATGAGATACTTTATTACGGCGTAAGTGCAGATTAAAACGTACTACTAATTTATGGATGAAACGTGGTCTGATCTCGATCCCAACCCTCGTTGGGAGGTTCTCCATAATAGTCCGACAAGTATTGATGAGCCAGTGACACCAAAAACTCCCTTGCCTGAACCAACTTGGGCAGCCGAGCTTTACTGATAACCACTAAGGACTTGGTTATTTTAGTTACTCGAAACTAAGAGTAGTTTTCTAAAACGGAGATAAACACAAGCCGTACTCGATCAGTTTCAATAAAGTCTGACATTATGCTTCTGCAGGTAGAATTGCATGCTGATATATTCCACATTGGTGTTAAGGTGCACCCGTATACCACATATGTTGGTAGATTCAGGTGAAACTAATGAACCAAGTGGCATGATACAACAACTGCTGAAACCTTGTCAGCGGTCCTTGTAAGTACAAAATAAATTAAGGGCAAAACAGTGAATGTATCTGGTGCTATCAGCTCCCCCTCACCCTCGGTTATAGAGTGCAAGGAAGAGGGGGCAAAATAGTCAAGTAAGTGTTTGAAAAAAGCTTTCATAGTCATCAGTTGACAAGCAGTAATTGATCAGTGCGCTATGCTACATCATCAGTCGATCGGCATTTCTAACAGAGCGCGAAGTTGCGACCCGTCTAGTTTCTCCTGGTAGCGCCTACGCCATCTTCCCGTTGCATAATCCGTCAACCGTTTCCGTCACCCCTGTTCTTTAACTGATGTGTAGCTTTCAACATTTTTTGTCCTAAGGTGGAAACAACTATTCGGATTTAGTATATCATATGGTGATGTTCCGTTTTTTTAATCGAACTGATATCCTTCCACTATCTGGTCGAAAATTTTGAAATTCTAGGCGGTTAGTGTATAGAACACGCCAATTATTTGGTGAACCAAACCTGAATGAGAGCTTTGAGTACCGATGGAGTACTGCCGCCGACCCTCACTCAAGTCCCACTCTCATCGTTTCATTCTCTTTACTGTGCCGCTTTTCTGGAAACCTCCTTTCATCTGTCTGCAAGCCCTGGGGAGCCAATGATGTTTACAGCGTTCCTCACAATCCAGCTCTAGAGTGTCATACAAAAGAATTATTTCGTTTTGGTTGACTTTGAGCACACCAACACAACCATGAAACACAACTTTCGGATATTATCGTCAATTTACATGCGAGTGTCCACTAAACAATTCACATTTGTATAAATTTAATGCCACCGTGTTGAGGTATCATGCTTTGTAATCAGTGGGAGTAAAGGGTGACAAATAGCACAAGTTACACCAAGTTGGAAATTCTATGACGGAAAATGTATATATCCCTTCGGGGAGGGGGCATAAGCCATTAAGTAAATAATAGAGCGGCAAGCCTGGTTTCGAAAAACCTGTGGTTCAACATCGTTTGCCATCCTCCCGCTCCAGTTGCCTTGGTACTCTAAAAAATCCTACCATTTTGAATCTGACAGGGCTTCGAAAATGACCCTTGGATGGTAACAGAAGGTTTTAAAAACTGCTACCAAACTTGTGTAACGGATCAAAAACTCACTGGTTTGTCCAATTAAACGGCTTTTAAACAACTCCTCTTGCTGACTAGGAGTAGCAGTGAAGAGCCGTAACGAAAACAGGAAAAAAAAATTGCTTTTGAGTCGATCGCGTGCAGTATTTCCTGATCTCCAATACCAAAGAGTGGCATTCCGAAATAAAATCATAAAAGATCTTCAATAAACTAAAACGGGAGGTCTTGAGAACGCGTGCAAATAGGCTCATGAAGTGCCATCTTAGAAACAGCCGTCACGAAGAAACTGAACCACACAACTGTATGATGGCTTGTACAGTTGTAAAAGCCAATGAAATATTGATCAGTGTCCGTGCGACACTCCCAAAACCTCTCAAAATAAGTTGGTCAATTGATAGAATCCCAACTAACATAGTCTCCCGACCATCCAGGTTGGGTATCAGGAATATATGTGGTAACTTACTCGTTAAAAATGTAAGCTGTTCTGACGGTCATACGCCAACCGCAACTGGCTTACGGTTGGGCTGATGAGGTAATGAGTTATACTCAGGACCTAAGCCATCTTCCTATTTAGGTATGGGCGGTCTGGCAGAACCACAGTAAACGTACTTCGATGAACTGCACAATAAAACTAGTATCATGTGTAGTCATGTGTTCACTTTGCACAGGCACAGAAATGGGACGAAGTTTGTTCGATGTACGATACCCCCATCACTTTGACTTTTGGTAAATACTTGCACTTAATTCGATGTCTAATCACACCTTGAGCCGGCTACTTCTTGATGTGCGCCTTTTTGTTCACCTGAACGGGTAGTTAACTGCACCTTTGAGCCACCTGTGATTTATCTTGAAGTTGCTCTAAAATGTTTTGTTCTTCAACATGTAGGTTGCGTATCCATCTTATTATTGCTTGATGACTTATTGGTTAGATTATTGTACGGATCGTGGAAATGTACAGTGGAATCGTATGGTGGGTTGATGAAATCAGTATTAGATCGCGACATGGCTTTTTGACTATTAGAAGCCAACTAGAGGCCACCAGTGAACCCCTGCTGTTTTCGCCAAGCAATGTTCGCTTTGTTCCATAGGTTTAGGTTTCCAAAGTTTTTGTGTACTGGTAAGAAATTACTCAGAAAAAAGCATTCTGACAATTTTCTGGTAGTCAGGTGGTTCGAATTAGTCATATTTTGCTCAATGTTTATTTATGAGTAACCACAGAGACTGTGAGAAGGAAAGACGAAGTGCAAACCCTAAGGTAGCACGAAGGTTTTAACCCGGTGTTCGGTCCAGTCCAAGGGGTGTACCATCCCTGCCGCACATAAAGATTCATTTTTTAAGATTGTCGCATATACGTGCGCGTAGGATATTTCTACCATTATTGTATGAAATTTTGTGCAAGGTAACGAAATCAGCAATATGAGCGAATGACTGAATAATTATGGATTGAGTATATACATCCACCCACATGCAGTTTGGCGCTCAAATAAGAACAAGCTCGGGGAAATCTGGGGATTTCACGAACCCAGTTGACCCTAAAAATGGCCATACCTGTGGAGAGTTTTCGGAGAGTTTTCGCCAGTCTTACAGACGGCACAGTGTCAAGTGCAATCAACCTTAGCTCGTAGTTCATCCGGTATCTTAGTCTAAATAAGTGTGTTTCTCGTTGGGGTGGATTGTTCAGAACCTGTACATTGTTGTGAATTACAACTTTTATCAATACAGTAATGTTTTACGATGTATCCTGGACTTTGCCTAATGATTTCGTTGTCCTAAGACCACATATTAAGGCACTGATTATACCATCTGGATATCTTCATAAGCTATCTAAATTAGTCTCTTGTTTCAAGTTCTAAATCTGGTAAACGCATTCTAGGGGAAGTGAATAACAAGCATGAGGCAAAAGTCCGCCGTGGTGTCCTGGAGTATTTATTTCCCTATTAGCGCTCGCAGTCCTAGTACGAAGCCTGATCTGTAATTATCCGAAGGGGGATAATCTACCATCGCCGTTGATGTATTCTTAAGAATGGTAGTCAACTGAATCATGCACTTGGCTTAAATGAATACTGAATATGCACAACCCACTGTTGTGTGTGCACCGAGTCTTTTATGGTTTTAGTTTTACCTCACCTGTGAGCTTTCCTACGCGGAAATACTACAGTTCCGTATGATACAAGACAAGGGATGTTTTATTTGCAGAGAAAGTTTTGGTTGGTTGGTTGGTTGGTTGTGTACAAGAAGCGACAATAATATAAGCTTTGTTTGAGGCTGCCACAGTTGACATATACTTTCACCTCTGTGTTCTCGCACGTGAAGTAAAGTCATTCGGCACACATTTTGCCAGTATAGGGCATAATTTTTCGACAAATATGAATCAAAGTCCCGCCCCAGTAATGTCACTGCGTGTGATAGTTTCACTGTCATCATGCTTTACCCCTACTCTCATAATATCACAGGCGATACTATTTCAAAGCGTTTTCACTGATACTATGCTCCAGCTGAATTGCAAAGTTCAATAATTCACTGACAAGTTCACTTAAGGTGAGCTACTTCAACTGAGCTGACAAGTGCCAGTGATTGGTGGCTTCCCCAAATCAAGGCGGTGCTAGTTGTCGTACACCATGACTCTACTTTACAAATGAAGTCATATGGAGCAGCTCTCGGTCATAATCGAATAATCTGGACCGCTTCACAGGCCTGATCGTGATAAACTGATTATGAGGAACAATCATTTGTGACACTCTGCGCAGACATGTGTCACATGCAATTTCTCCGCTATGCCAAATAGGCGTAATTCTTGGATTTGCGTTGTCTCATGCCTACCTCCTTTGTAAGCAAGCCCTCTTTCATTTGATGTGTTAATTCAATAAAATTCGGCAAGTCGAACTTTAGTTACACTAACAAGTCCTTTAATATCCAGCTTGGTACTTTTTTTCGTTTTTAAGTGTTCAAACGATTCAGCTGTGAATAATACTCACGGGTTAAGTCGGAACGGAGGACACAACATGTGAACCGTTAATTTTATTGTCTTTTTTTTCTTTTGAATACCGAACGGACAGCGAGTAAACGTTCATTGCCTTGTCATGTATCTTACACTGTCGTTTCCTGCACTGCCAACATGCCATGGGCTCTTTTGCAAATACTATGTTTTACGCTTCTTTCAACTTCTCGACTTTCCAGTAATAAATCCTCTCCTTAATCCTGTCTGAAGCAGGCGGAATCTTCTCTTCTCCTAATTACACTAATTTTGGAAACCAACTTACCATTGAAGCTTGCCCTTGTGCATGTCAAAATAAGTTTCACACCACAATAAGCTTATCACTGTGTTGTACTGAAAAACTGACCTGCTACATGCAGTTACACGCGGTGTGACGAGAAGCACATAACCCTATATAAACAAACTGGTTATCGATTTTGGTAGATGAAGCCACAAGTCCGTTCGTAAAATATATAAACGCCATCCGAGGTCGTACGTAGCAAATCAAGGAGTCACTGTGTGTCAAGTCTATCTGTACGTGTCTCACCATCAAATTTTCTTCATTGTGTGGGTGAGTTCTAGCATTTTAGATGAACAGAATCAGTGTGAACCTCAAACTGCATACGCCAGTAATTAGCTTGAATTTTGTTGGCATAAAATGAACACATTCCAGAAGAATGTCCTTCATTATCAAGGTCTGTCAAATTTGTATGCTCCCTTGATTTACTTAAATCAACCAAGAAATCTCCCCAAGTTTTATCCGCATATCTTAATCGTGTTTGTCAGTTTTTCGTGCAACGAGACGCTGTTGATACTGATATGGAAAAATATTGAGAGAGCTGTACCACAACCCTCACGTACGACTCAGGAGGCATTCGCTGGCCTGTAAAACAATCAAGAGCATTTCGGTAGTTTTTGGTCTTGCGAAAAACGGGTTTATTAGTCTCGAGTTGTCAGTCAGATTTCTGCATCTAATTTAGTAGAGTGACAAGCCACTGTCGTAACTAATTTACTTAACTAGACAAGCAATTTAACAAAAAACGGATGTTTAGGTGCAAAACTAACAAACAAGTTTACCGCAATAGAATTTTAGGCGCTTGGGCCAAACTATAAAAAATTTCATATTACTTGGTTTCGAGTAATTAGACAAGAATAGATAAGGGATGAATAGTTTGGTATCTGATTTCACATTCCTGCTTGCGGCCCCCACCCAATGACTAGTTGTATTTCACGATTAGATACAGTCAGCAAAGAGCAGCCAAATCCTTAATCGCTCTCAGACATGTTGTAATTAACGTAGACAGTATCGACAATTAGTTAAATTACGTATGCTTGTAAGAAATCTTGTCTTCATGATCCATATCCAAACGAACTTTTATAATTCTGCTACAAATTTAAGAACGGAAATGGCTAGCCCTTTTTTTCTTTCTTATCGGGAATACAGGCCGAGCATGTCTCTCACTGTAAATGCAATGGTGCGTTTTCCACAGTTTATTCTTACAGGGGCCATACCTTCGTGCGGCTAGAAAATGTGAGATCCCGAACTCAAGTAAAATCAACTAGGACTTTGGCATTCAGTTAGTTCGATGTTCAATGACCTACTGTTAACGGCCGATCAACTTGTTTTACCGCGTTCAGATAAGAAAAAGAGCACGGCTGGTCCTAATAATGAAACTATATATTACTGAGGTAAAGTCAACCTGATACATTCAGAATATTGACTATTTTGGAGTGAAAGAAGGGAGACGGTGCTGTCGAACATGCATCACCTGATAGCTTCAGAGCCTTAAGATTAGGAAAATCAGGGATTTGAGAGTTCAATCATCCAATTTACGGAGTCTTGTGCTATATTTTTATTAGAACGGACCTGTAATGTCTGAAGCACTTCTTAGCTGGGATTGTTCTCGTGATGCGATGATTTCGTAGACTGGTTTGTTGTTGTGGACGACGACGAAGCTTGCATGCTTCCAAATGGAATTGTCAGTTTCTTTGTTTAAGCAATTGTTGAAGAGCAATTCAACCCTTTCTTCACTTTCCTTCATCGGAAGTTGTCTAGCGACTTTCCTACCAAATGCTGACGTTTATTGCTCATCTTTTTTTTAAACGACCACACAACTCCAAAAACTATGGAATAATTCTAAAGAAATTGACGTGAGCTCACTAAAATGCTTTAGGTATTCCATTCTCGTCGGTCACTTTGGTGTGGGGTGATGCGCAGAAGGTATTTAAGCGAGTATTCATTTCCGTATTTAATCGGCAAACAATAGCTGATGTGAACATTTCGTCTGATTTCCGTAAGCCGTGTTTCTCATGTCCTTTTGAATGGACGCCAATAAAGACCCATTTTGGTTGTTGGTTTATTCACTTAGCTGGGCTATTGGATTGCCAAAGTCTCATTACCAATCGCGATGACATCATCAGTTCATTTTTAGAGAGCGTAGAGATGGGTCGATGGTTGTGCAGTTCTCTCACTTATGTGGAAAATATTTGTTTGCTTTGACGACATATGGCCCAATGCGTTAAAATCAGATGTTGCCAAATTGTTTGTTGGTGTATATGAATAGCTATCAGCCCAATCGGATTTTCCTGTCATTGCGGTGTCAGCACTTGCAGTCGGTTTCTCACAGCATGGTGTTGTACCTTCCCTACTATAACATCATACCAATGGCACCGGGAGCCGCCAAGTTTCGCATCGTTAAGGTGGTAGTGGATTGATAAATAACGATATTCCTCCAACCCTACCGTTTACAATATATAGACTGTGTATAGATATGCACCACAACTGTTCAAGAGAACATTTCCAATCCAAGCCGATACCTCGATAGTCTGCCTCATTGTTTGGTGCACGGCGGCGTGCAAGGAGAGAAAGTCACAACAACTGTACACGACGGCATGAAGATTTAATAATCCAGGTTTCAAAGAGCTGAATATCCACTTGGTTGATCGAAAGATTGCATCTGGAAGGTTCTATTAAACATAACTCTTTAAAATGCCGTCCAAAGTCCTCGGTTCGTAACACCTAAAAAGAACGACAACCAGACTTTGGTCCCATCATACGATCGTTGAAGCATGATTCAAGAACCTTTGATACTCCAATGCGATTTTTTTGTTTTAGCCATTTCCTGGCTTGCTTAAATTAACTAGAAAAGGTATGGTTGTTCGAGCTAGACTTTTATCTTGCCCAAGGCGAAGGTGATTTCAGCATTCAAGTACTGAGAATTGAGAAAACTAGGAGTTGAATGTGCTGAAAACTAGGTTTATGTCTAGCATCTCCTTCGTTAGCTAGTTCCATGTAGTTTCCCCTAAGGGCTTTGACGATTCATTGGACCATTCAGTTTTTAAATGTAGGTAATAGAATCAGTATGCGACTACTGAAGTTAACATGTATAAGTCTTTTTTGGAAATTAAATACCATACTAGTAAGTTCTGACGAGCACTGGTACTCTTCTCATGCGATCTATTAGAACTGACGGTCCGAATGCATCATTGACTAGGAAAGTATTCAACTTGTGGAACGCCACTGCGAAATTCCCCTTTCCTGTGAAAGCATCATTTCCCAATCTGTGTTTGTCAGCGCATTACTGTAGCGGATACGTTTCTGGGTTTTATCCAGAATTTAAAACTGCTCCAAACAGTTGCTTGAGTCCAATGCTGATACAGAGCAAAAACATCAAGTAGGTGTTGATGTTAAGCGCACTTCCAACCACTCGTCGTACCTATGGATTTCTTTGCTGTTTTAAAATGAATGTATTAACCTTCAAAGACACAAACAACTCTATTTTAGATTTTTCCGACCATACTTGTGGGCGCATATTGATTGGCAGCTGCGGAAATGATATCCGTTGCATAAAAGTTTAAATTCTAATGGGTAGGAACCCATAGGGATAATAACATGTTGGATGCATCAAGAGTTTTAGGGTTGGGTTACAGGTAGCCTGCTAAAAGTCACGCAAAATTTGAACCTCACAGTACTTATATCCAAAATGAGGGAACTTCATTAACTGACACGGATCATTCAATTCAGCTATGTTGTATTATACAACATTTTGTTCTGATTGTTGTTCCTGAGGATATGGAAGATGCTGTTTGAACAAACTGCTTATCAGTAAAAATTTGGTTACGTTTACTCGGAACACAACTGGAAAATTATGGCCGAGGACGATACTAGACCAGATGTAACCCAATTCATCGGAAAATTCTAATTGAAACTAACGGCATTCATTGGTAGCTTTTTGGTCTGGTCGTGATGTAATCAGATATATGAACAATCATTTTGACCGTCCTCGTCACAAGGATCCTGTTCTGACTTGAGCACGTCATTCAAAGAATATTGCGGTGAGTAGTTTTATACACCGAGATGCAGCGATCGACCTTTCCAAATCAAACAACCAGAAACTTCACTGTTCTCCCTAATAACTTCTTATCAACTTCTTAGCAACAAATGGAGGTATTGTGGTGTGAATAAAACCCAGATACCAGTGAAAGGGAGAAGGTCTTTACTGCGGAGTTATCTATTAGGAAATGCTGACTGACTTTTTACAGACCATTGGACAGGAAAGCAAAACTTTCGTTTGCATCTTATTTACAAAAATTGAGCATCCATCTTCTCCTGAACGCGTCTTCTTGGGCTTTTCTGGATATTCATTGAATCCAGTCATTCACCGCTCAAATCCAAGCAAATGTAACAAAGCGACTCCACAAATTCCGCAACAGATCTCCCCTTTTCAAGAGACGCAAGGTGAAATTCCACGGACAGCACATACTATTCGCGTGCCTCCCCATCAGTAGTATCACCGTTACACCAGTACTGATGAGACTGGGCTTCATTTGTACCGATCACCCTTAAAACATTACTACCTGAGTTCGGAGAACTGAGACTTTGGATAGTTCCGCAAATGAACACCCAATAGACCTCCAGTAAAAACCCTGTCTCACTGGTCTGGTTCGGTTTTCAGCTTGTCCGGATTTCACTTCTTCGTGTGCCCCAATGAAAACCGCACGGATACTAGGTCCTAGATTTTTCTTGTCAAGTCACTATTTCTCCCTTGCAATATGGTCTTTGCTCCATCAACCACATGACATCAGTTTAATGAGACACCATGGCCACGATTTGTTAGACCGCACATATCAGCAGCGCACAAGTGTATCTGGGTATCCATTGCGATCCAGTCGAAGGATCGAGTCTAGTCGAAACGTGTGCTGAATGTATGCTACTAGGAAGCACGTATGTTCGGCATGTCACAGATGTGTATGATTTTATAATTGGCATTCACCTGATTTTGTAGTTGATCCATTCGTACAGCAAACAAACATTCATCGTTGTCTTCCTGTTGTATAACGGTGACCTTTCTATGTGCAGCATTGGCGATTCAATGGTACGCGAGTGTTATCACACGTTGTGTAAGACGGCTAAAAGTTTACTAGGTTTCACAGATATACTTTATCTTATCTCTGCTGCTTTAAGGGAACAAGAAATTACAAAAAGCAAAGGCGATACGTGATTTTTTTAAATGTCCAAGACACGGACAATTCTGAGAAAAGAAGAATGAGACGAATAACATTCGTGATCTGCACATTGATCGTTGTTAACCATTTGTTTTAGCTAACCCAGTGTTTACATTCTGTATGCTTTTGACCTTGTATTTCTCTTTTCAATTCAGCCCACGCAATGAGGCCACTGGTGATTTTGTGTACAGTCCTATTAAATGGCGTCTTCGCTCTTGAAAATGGTCTCGCCCGAACACCTCCAATGGGTTGGATGAGTTGGGAAAGATTTCGTTGCCAGACAGACTGTGTGCAGTATCCCGAAGATTGTATCAGTGAGAAATTGATTAGGCGCACTGTGGACCGTATGATATCAGACGGTTGGAAAGATGTGGGGTACGAGTACGTCATAACTGATGACTGCTGGCCAGAAAAAGAGCGAGATCGGAACACCCAGGAAATCGTGGCCGATCAGACAAGATTTCCTAGTGTAAGTGACTTATTTCAAAGTGTGGCCCGACAGTTCTCAAATGTTCTTCATGTAGATACAAGTCCTTTATGTACATATGGTCGGCTTGGAATGAGGCTTCATATTAGGCCGCACCCTGGTACATACAAACAGCTCTACACTGTTCTGCATTTAATGTTAACAAACCGTCGGGTTTTGTGTTATCTAAGGCCTCGTTAGGTGGCCGAGTGGGGCGTACATACTACTCTTTGGTTACTGGTTTTCGACTGTATCACAAAACCATATGCCCACTGACCAAACCGGAACCTTCAGAAAAATGTAGACTACGATCCACTCAGCCGTTGACTTATTTACACACCCATTTGACTTGTGGTGAAACGCAAGATTATTTTATCGAAATAGTAGTCTCTTCCAGTAGGACTGACATCTAGTATCCAGTCCCATATTATAAGATTCGGTCGCTGGACCTTCAAACACCCGAAACGTCTACACGTTATGTCCAACTTTACCCACTTAATGGATCTCGACAAGGACGTGAGGCTAAATCTTCCTGGATCTGGCCTAGCCCTTGCCATAAGCTTTCGTTGACTTTTAAACCCACGTCAGCCGCGATGGCAACCGAACAGATAATATAACCACTCACTCATAGTCCAGTTATCTGAGTTGGTGAACACAAGTTATACCCAAGACCATGATTCGGACACACTCCATCCTGCACAAATGGATCACAGGTGAATAAGAAACAGCCATATAGCCAAGGAATCTTTTTCCAATGTGCATTTGGCTGAATCTCACAGACAGGAATTTCACGGTAAAACTATCACAAGAAGTGTAAGTAAAATATGTTGGTCCTGACTGCATGATACGACCTATCTGACAGCTGTCACGTGTAGGATGCACTGAGGTCAACAGGTTGACTAACAATTGAGTACTTTTTCTTCGGGACGCGAAAGCAGTGATCTGTCAGTTACTTGCAAAGCGTCGTTTTGCGTAGACCATGTCAACTGTAAAGAGTGCGCAAAGCGTCTTGATACACATGCATTTGGCGTGTGGCGGTGGATGGCCGTGGTTCCTTTCGCTCAAAGCACTCTGGACGTAAGTATATGTGATGGTCTGTTGCTGACATGAAGGATGATGATGATGTCGGTGACCGGTATCTAAAGGATGTGTTAGAACTATGCTGTTGGCGGTCTACGTAACTTGTTTGACTTGGCACAATTTTGGTACCGGCTGAGACAATGTGCTTTTTGTTTTGCCGGAGTAACGCGCATCATATCTGCAAGCAAACTTATACCCTCATAGAAGTCTCTGCACCAGAAGTTCGGCCTCTTAGTGCTTACATTTTTGTTTGGTTCCTCATTTATTTTTTTTGTTCACAAGTTCCGTGTCTACACCGCTAGTGAATGGTGGTAATTCTTGCACCATATCGGACTTGACACGTTTTTTTTTGTGCTCAGCCCTGTGTTTCTTCCCAGAAATCATTCGGTACTACAGCTGTTCACAGGCTGTCTACGAGAGAATCAACTACGGGAAATGTGCTCCTCATTCGACCCTTTGGTGCTGTATCGCGCAGACACCGTATGAGGTATCCCTTGGATAACACAGAAAGCAAAATTCTTGTACTGACGTACCTAATTTCTGTTTTGGTAGGCACTTGTCTGAACCTTTCCATCATTTTATCCGACAGGTTTGTCGATGCAATCATGTTCTGGTCCACAAGTGAGCTGCAAAGCTACATGGATATTGTCACCATGAAATTAATCGTTCCACACAAGATCGGCGCAGAAACACCAGACTATCTCAAATATCGTTGCAATGAGGATATTCCTCTAAGCATGGTGTTTTCTCATTTAGATATCAATATGTCGGCTATATGCTCAATCTATTTACCTCAAAATCTAAGTGCCGTTCCATTATCTGTTTGATTATTGTTTGCCTGAATGGCTCCACGTACGTAGCTCATAGTCGTAATGGCCAATGAAGTTACGCCTAAAAATCGCTCGTTTATTTGATACGTGTTGAAACTGGATGTGTACCGTGTTTGCCAAGATATGGTGAGCGCTGTGTTTGAATACAAAATGACGAAAGCACCTTCACGTCCGCTCGTAATTTTGTCTTCCTAGTTGAACTATGGAAAGAAGGCAAATCAGTATCAGAAATATAACGTACTAGGAATCCAGGTTTTTACACCTTAGGCGAACCGTATGCACAATGATGTGTTCTAGCGGGCTTGAGCTACTCAAATGCTCGCTTCTTGATGTGGTCTCCATGAATGTTGTCGGAGCTCACACCAGTCATTTATTCTGTGGTGATGCTTTTCGTACCATATAGCACACCAGGTGACATCATGGGGAATTTATTCAATCTCGCAACAAGCTTTTCCAGCTACACGCTCAAAATAACTTCCACAGTAGGTAGCTTCTGCTCGGAAACAAGCTCTGTAAGTACCACTATTCAATTGCTGTCCTTGTAAATCTGACAGGCAGCACTCCGCTTAGTGAATAGTGAATAGTAAGATTTCAGAAACTATGGCAGAATTTCCGAAAGTTCATGTCGTCGGATGATTGTTAGGTGGAAACCACAGTAACTGAAGTTTATGAGCTGCCGGAAAAAGGTGTTAAAATAAGATAGTTGCACCACCTGGACATTGTTTTAAAGGTTTCAGTTACCGTGATGTTGATGTTGACAAATTCAGAGTTCACTAACAGCCTACAAATTGTAACGTTCAATCCAAGATCCTCCTCAGAAAATTGTCGATTACTCTGCTTATTGTGCCTTTAACGGGCAAACGGTATCTTCGAGTGACGCGTAATATCAGAACCTCCGGGAAGGCAAAACAAATTCGGGGCTGGGTATCTATACGGTACTCAATGGTAGGTACTTGTCCACAACCAATGATCCATTTGAAATACAAAAGTATGAACCAAATTTGCAAACAGGCTCCCACGTGAGACAGTGACTCGTACATAAGGTCGGCCGAAAAATGGTTAGATGACCTCAAGGCTAAATAAGTTAAGTGGTAAGAACAAACAAACGACAGTTCATACACACACACTAAACCCAAAAGTGGAGCGGGGTTGAAATTGGGACAGAACAAAGGTGGGGGATTTCAAATGTTAACTTAATGGACGATACAGTGCCCTTTTTTTCTGTAGCACGTGATAATGATAACTATAACGTTTCGCGTGCAACATCAAGAGTGTACTGATTACAGAATTTCCATTAGTTAGGTTGTAGCGGGCGCTCTCATAATAATGCTTGTATTCAGTTACTTTTGATTTTCTCTCATCAAAGTACATATTACAATCGATTTTCGCGCCATAGCCAGGCGATGAAATACCACATACACTATAGAACCGAAGTGTGTATAAGATTACTGTCCTAATTGGTATAACTATGCACGTTTCAAAGTATAGCGTTCACAGTCCCAGCTTACGACCAGATGACTCATGTAAAAGTGTCCATTATATTTCTTTGAGTCCCATTGAGGAGAATGTTTCTAGTTCAGGTATGGTAGACGGTTGTTGGTTTATTCGCAGAGTTAGACAGTTTACTTGCAAACGTTCAGTCATCAGTCGAGGTGAAATCATCGACGCGTTGTTAGGGACAGGGCAAACTAGTGCGTCAGTGATTGTGTATTAGGTAGCCGTGTGTGCTAACATACGGGATGCATACCAAAGACGACCACTTATTCTGGTAGACATTTCGATCGGCCGGTGACCGTATGACCTTCACGGTCAGCCTCGTTTGCTGTCGTCCATTGGTCGGTGCTCGAAGAAATTCTTTCCCTGAAATCCTAGGTTCTGCTCTATGACCTTCAGTGGTGTGATCCCAAGGAGATTTCTGTTTCTTAGTCTGTGATTCCTATAGTCAGTCGCTTTTCAGTATTCCAGCCGGGACGTTAGTTTTGCATCAAGTTCAAGAGGCCACCTGTGGAGTACCGTGCTTTCATTCTTCTCCGTGTTTCGCGCCTCCCAGTGCCATTTTTTTTCACATTTCCCAGATTGGATTTTGTTTCGCGCCCCCAATGCCAATTTTTTCACATTTCGCAGATTGGATTTGTGCCCCCGTGTGGTTTTCAAGCACAGAAATCAATAAAGGACAGCCATATTTTCTAATGACTGCACTGTGTTATCAGAACTAAAAACTCACTTGGACACCAGTGAATGAACGAGAACAGAAAAGTTTGACCAAGAAAGTCACATGGTCACCTACTAATCAGGGCACAGGATAACAGATTAACGAATAGAACCACCTTACCCAGCAATCTGCAACATCAGAGGGGCAGCCCCAGCAGGCAGCACATATATTTAACACAAACACAGCACTACTCAACACGAAACCACTGAAACGCCACTACACTTTACTCCCCAACAATGTACCAATGATGCCACCCCGGTGATGGCGGTACGTTTGCAAGTACCTGGCTCAGTAAACAAACCATCAAGCGCTTTAAAGCTCTGTTACTCTGTGCCGCGTACAGCGTTGGGTCTACTTACAACCAACTTACAACCAACCTTTTACTTTACTTGAAGCGGTCCATGGCCAAAAGTAGTCAATGAGTCTTTCACACTGGTACTCACTGAATCGTTTTAACAACGTCGTGAACTGTTCACCTGGTGATCAATTCTGTCTTCCTGCAGGGTATTGAGGGCCTTGGAGAATATATTCATGGTCATGGTCTAAAGTTCGGTATTTATTTGGACTACGGAACAATGACGTGTGCTGGCTATCCGGGCAGCATGGACTTTCTGGAAATTGACACCAAAAGCCTGGCAAAATGGAAAGTAGACTACGTCAAGGTTGATGGATGCTACAGCCCATTGGACGAAATGCCCGAAGGTTATGAGAAGTTCGGCGAACTACTCAATCAAACTGGTCGTCCAATCGTATACAGCTGTAGCTACCCGGCCTACATACCGTGGAGATCGAACCCAAAAATGTTGGACTGGCAGCGTCTCAAAACCAATTGCAACCTGTGGCGAATGTTCGGTGATATTGATGATTCGTGGGACAGCGTCCTAACAATTATTAATTTAATGCGCGACACACAGTCTACCTTACAACCAATTGCCGGTCCAGGGCATTGGAACGATCCAGATATGCTAGTAATTGGAGACTTCGGATTGTCCTTGGACCAAGAGCGCGTTCAAATGGGAATGTGGTGTCTTTTTGCAGCTCCATTGCTTATTTCTGCTGATATGGACCACATGAATCCTGAGAGTGCAGCAATACTGAAGAATCCGCATCTGATATCAATTAATCAGGATTCTGGTGGACATCAAGCCAAATACATCACGACCAAAAACGGTGTACAGGTAAGGGCTTATCACGATCATTTAATTTAGCCCATTCATAGAATATTTTCACACATTTCAGTGGAACCAGCTAACCAGGGGTTTTCTCCAGTTTCACTTCCAGAGAAAGAGAAAGAGAGCGAATGCGAAGAGTTTTCGCCAACTTACTTTCACTACACAGACACTGCGGTTTGAAAATTCGAACGAATATTTCACCAAAACCCTTTGAAGTTCAAATAGCTCATAATTGAATCGGACAAAAGCGGCGGATAAGTATGAACGGGAATTCGCAACAGAGAACACCACTTTCCAAAGAAGTAGTCCCGTTACCTAAAATGGGTTTTAGAGTCGCGTTGTGAAGCCAGTTACATCAAAACAAACATAAATGGGCCGAAAACTGAAGACCTTCCAGTTGAAGTGACCTACTTATCAGGAGAAGATTGGTATTGGGAGACAGCACATCCGGTTGTGCACGGTGCACATTCGTACAAACACAAGTGACACACGACATAAAAATATCATATAATGAGCTTCTTATCCCCTTATCAATGAAAGTAATTGGACACACTCCAACTGCATACTAATTACTGGGAAGACATGCATGCTCCGTCAACTAAGTGTGAGCACATAAGATGCGTTACTCGTTCCAACAGGAATTGGGACATAGGACTGGTTGTTCCCTTTGTTTGCTTATTCCTAATTAGAAATTGTGCGACCGTCTTCTGTCAGGCAGTTCGCACCTTTGAGCTGCAGTGTTTGAGGCACCTCAGTGCTCATGTTCCTCATGTTTCAATGAATATTTCAACCCATCTGATGGTCCGTTGCAGCCAAATGTTCAACCGACCACGTTAAAGCGAAAATGCTGGTCCTGTAGTATTGAGGGTGCCCCTCACTTGAACCCTCCTGCAGTATGTCAAAGAAGACTATTTCAGTGAACAAATGCTCGCAAATTACAACACGGAATCGAAATACTTTGAAAACTCAGTTTCAGGGTTGACACACACTGAATTACTTCTCTCCAGCCCTATCGAGTCGTTTCAGTGGTGTTCATACCCTGTTTTGAGAATCAATGAACGCGGTTCTCACACTCGACAATGCAGACGAGTACACCATATAAGTTAGATATCCTGGTAAGCAAAACGCACTTGTATAGCTCAGTGGCTCCAATTTGGAAAACTGACAAGAGTGCACTGACAGTGATGACCTGTCCATGTATATTTTTCTGTTATTACCATAAGTTGATGATGAGCACCTCTTCAACCGAGGTAGAATCGAACCAATTTGTCTTCTCTGCTGGGTGGTGAGATGCTAGAAATTATAGAAAATTTTGGTGACTACGACTCTGTGAATGTAGTCAATTCTCATCTGGTATGAATGAGAAGCACTGCCCCAACGAATTTTGACTTTAGTCTTTTCAATAAAACTAAATTGAATGGTTGTCCAGAGAAGGACGAATCCACTGAATTTATTGAGGATAACCTCTAGTTACCAAAACTTTAGCCAGGTAATCGTCCTGGATAAAAGTATTTATAGTCCGGCACCGCTTCCATTTTATTTCGGCCCAGATGGTATATCATAAAGACACAGGAGTTAGGCCTCCATCAGAATATTTAACACTTTCAAGAGATGCTCTAGCTTGGCGGTTTCTGAATAAGCCCATTGAAAAGATTTTTTCACAAGTCCCAGGAATGACCCATGGAATGGTAAGGGATAGTGTCCATTTGTAGAGGGTGATACTATCTTGAATGCCAGACGAATCACAGGAAAACATCCATCTATTCAACGAAATGATAAATGTACGGCTAATTTGGTCTTACGCCCTTCGAGAGAAATTTTACAGGGCTAATAGAGTGATGCTAATTTGCCTACATAAACCTTTGTTTGGTTTACCATTTGGTGAGTATACTGGAGCCACAGGGCTTCTACGGGAAATTCACGACAAATGAGTGTTAAAAGTTGGTTTATTTAATAAGGAGAAGCATTCTATATCGCCTATTGCAGTGCCTCATTAGCTAGCTTGCCATCCCTCATCGAAGGCTGTGGAAACGTTGGCAAGGATGGTGTCACCTTGTGCCATCTTTGATTACCTTCTGATGCACTAGCCTCCACAAGATATCGCTTTCTTCCTTAACCTCTCGTTTAGAAGATAAGCGCCACCAATGCGTGAACAGTCAAGGAGCTAACAGCAACTTTATGAGTATTGTGTTCAACTCTAGCTAATTTTTTCTATATTCTGAACCTTCAGAGTTGTATTGCAAAAGGCAGCCCAGAAAACTACTGCAGTAAAAAGGGCGTTTATTAATACAAACTGTTGCCGTGGTCTGAAAATCACCCCTGGCGCAAAATTTGTTTCTAGGTCTCTTTTAGGAAACACTTTTTCTGGGTAGTGCAGGTGTTGAGTTCTCCATACGTAACTTTGAGTCACGCTTAGGTTTGACGATCAAGATATGTATGACGAAGAATCGGATTTAAGAGTCTATAGTTACCGAATATACCCTCATTTACAAACTAATTTGGCTTTTCGAGAGACTCACCCGGAAGCCAGCTAAATCTCTCGTTTGCGACGTTTCCAGGCAAGTGATTGTGCCGCACCAGACCACCTTATGTTTCAGTCGCTACGATATTCAAGATATCGCGATACATGTATACTCGTAATGCACTACTAGTAAGGTTGCTGATGAACCCCAAGAAGGGCGAAACCGGTCGTGAGCTGATGACGAATTTTCAGCAACCTTATGACTAGTGCAGTAACAAGTCTATGGTTATATTTTCACGCAAATAAATAAAAATCTTCGGCAAACCTTAGTGGTCCACGCTCGTGGCATGATCAACAGTTGTGCAAGCTTGTCAGTTACTAGCACATCTGAGCATCAAATTCAGACCACGGTGAGCAGATTGGTGATGCAATGGTGCGGGTTGCTGCCGTTCCTTCCGAGATCACTCTTGTGAGTCCGACTGTTGGGCTCCCTCACGGGGTTGGTGTTAGGGCAAGTCATAGCGGGCCAAGCGGGCTGAGCTAGCACGCCGACGGACGATTGATGCGGTGATATATATATATATATATATATATAAATATATATATATATAAGCTAGGATACAATTGCCCGG